ATGCCGTACTGGCCATGCTCCTGGTTGTGGTTGGGCGCCTGGCTGTTGGCCTCCTGGTTGTCCTGGTCGTTGTCGTGCTGGTCGTTGTCGTGCTGGTCGTTGTCGTGCTGGTCGTTCCAGCGCCATGGCTTGTCGACCTGGTTGACACCTCATTCACAGTGGATTCACCTACGGTCTCGATGTTGGTCATTGACGCGCTCCCCTCTATTTCCATTGGCGTATTGATCACAGATGAGCTTGTGATATCACTCAATGCGCTCGACATGGAGCTTTGCTCGCTGGTCGCCGCCGCAGCGGCGCTTTGCTGTCGTTGTTGTTTGGCCATCTTCTTCCGACATATCTTGCACTCAACTCCTCTGTCGGTACAGAGGTGTTTGGTCTGCGATGAATGAGCATCTCGAGCATTCTTGGTCAAGAACCCCTGGCCACCGTTGTTGCTACATTCACCATGCTGACAATTATGTCTAGCAATGGAGGGAGGTGACGCAGTGACTGACGCTAGTTGCGCACTCGGCTTTGTCATTTATCACAACTAACTAACTATTTACAACTGAGTATGTTATAATATGATCACTTGGGTGGTCTGGAGCTTCATGATGTTTGAACGGCCGCCAGACCAACCCAGGTGATTTAAAAACTTAATAAAAAATGCGGATTCCTCTTCCATATGGTAGATCCGCCGCTGTTTAGATTAAGTTTTTATTTACGTTACTTCGCACAAATGGTCGATCGATCTGCATGACTTGTCTCGGTTTTGTAAGTTGGTGAACGCGGATAATTTGTAGTGTTCATGCTCCACCAGAGGAAGATCTCCAAGTATGAGCTGGACGTCATCATGTCACTCATTAGACAACACCACAGGGAGTTTGTACGTGCTCACAGGGACAGTATTGGGACACCCATCAACTTTCATCTATCTTATCACTGGGAGTTAATCATACCACTACATGGAAGCCCAAGGATGTACCAAGCAGAGGACTATGGTAGGCATTATCACGTTTCATCCACTGTGGAGTTCTTTAACACACTGACTAATCAATGACATTTAAACATAACTTACACACAGAGAGCAAGAATGGAGAGTTGAGAGATTCAAAGAACAACGCCTCCAACAATCAAAGTCAAGAGAGAGTGATTAGGAAGGAGGTGGTCAAAGATAAAGATCACATCAAGACTTATCCTTTGGATGAACGCATTAAAGACGTACGTATGGATGTCTGAGACATGAAGAGTATGACCACGACCAATTCCAATTGATTGACTAACTCCAAACTGTCACCAGTATATCACTGAACAGCCACTCAAGGTAGGAATCAAGTTGAGCAACTCAAAGAGGATCATTGTGAATGATGAACAACAATACTGTAGTCTCTCCAACCCATCTGAATGCTACAGAGTCGGTGATGCCATCACTGTCATTGGTGTTCCAGGCCTAAGGTCTGGCAGGGCTACAAGAGGACACCTGAACAGAGATGAATTATGGTTCGCCTATGTTTTGGCAATCTACGACAAGACAGTTCATTTACAATGGTTCGAGGGAAGCAATGACAATCATTTCAGCCTTGAACAATGCAGCATTCTCGAGCACCAGAAGATCAATGATACAGCTACCAAGGTCATCATTGATGACAACAAATATCTTTTGTTCCCTTATTGACAATATCAATCAACAGACATGGCCATGTCAATTTTTCAATAAACTTGCAAGAATGAGTTTGTCTCAATCAATCATCTATTTTTATTCCACTCAATCAGATATACTATTTGAAGTAATAATAAGAAGACCATCGTCAATATCCTCATCAAAGGGTCCATTGATGACCTGGTGATAGGCTCAATGTAGTCTTATTAAGACTACAATTCAGAGTCTACAGTTCGCGAATGTACTACACAGCTACAGACATACGCATGTACATCACGATGTTCACCTTAAGACTATCGTACAGAGTCTACAGTTCGCGAGCTGTACTACACAGCTACAGACACACTCATGTACATCACGATGTTCGCTCAATCAACTGCATCAATATGTTAATAACCCAGAAGACTCTATTCATCACACACTCACACACAATGTGTTGCTGTCGATACATTGGCGCGCCATAATTTAAACTCATCCATCTACAGTAATAACTTCAACCATTGTCATACTCAATTACTCTCTGTCAATCACTCTCAATGCATTCAAACTTTAATTCATTCAAACATTCTTTCAATTTGATCAAATATAAATATTAATATTCATTCATCCTTCAACAAATATAATACCATCATTATGACAATGAGTAGTACAATATATATTCCAAATACCAATAACCCATATATGCTAGGAAATCCAATACCATTCTCTACACCTCAATCTCAATCTCAATCAATCCTCAGTTCCAATTTCCAATCACACCAATACCATCCACCATCACTGGATCAATCCAATCGATACCCTTATCCTACGCCAACCAACAATGATCACAATAACCAAAATGAAGAAGAAGAAGAAGATAATCTAATTGATTCAAGCCAACAACCTAACCATCTAATGAGCTTTAACGTTAATGACGTTAATGACAACTCCTCATCCAGCAACTCTAGTTCACACAACAACGAAGAATATAGCAATGACAACTTTGGCTCCAGCAATGGATCCCTCACCAGCGGATCACAACCACCTCTAATTGGATCGGCACACACTACATCTGCATCACAACAAACATCAGTAACTCAGACTCAAACATCAGTAACTCATACTCAAACATCACCAACTTTATTCACAGAGGAACAGATGTCCCAGTTTCTTTGTGTCCAATTTAGTCGTCAACAACGTAAGTTTGTAAAAGTAAGATGTGATTCTGTCAATCATTGTTAACCATCAGTTCCAGACGAGATTACAAAAAAAGCCAAGGAATCAATGAAGACGACCTGTGATCAAACGTTGACAAATCGAGAAGTTAAGAATATCATTAATGAACAGACAGGTATACCTCTGGAGCGCGTAAAGATATACATGGTGGACCTTGTAAGTGTAATAAAACAGAAACTGGATTGATTGATCAGTATGTAACTAACAAGTCTCGTCCTTCAAAGATCCAGAAGTCTCTAAAGACGAGGAGAAACAACTTGTTAAAGGCCCTCAGAAATGTGTATGCCAAACTGGCACAAGAAGTATGTATATAATAATATTCCCTTTAAACAATATTCTTACTAAAACCACTTGATAGGATCAACAACGCCTACTCAACGAACTGCAATCAATGGGCTCATTCTCTGTTCACGATCTAAAGGATAGACTCGGTGACTACACAAAGAATTTCTTGAACTCTGTCATCAAAAGGAAGATCTCCGAGTTTGAGATGTATTATTTGTTGTACCAAATCCAATTCACCAAGAACAGAAGATCTCATCAACCTCGTCCAGTATCTGAACCGACAATGAATGTACAAGTGGCAGATGGACGACAAATGCGATTTGTCTTAATAGATAGATAATAACAAGGTAGTAATGATCAAAGAATTAAATAATAATGTTTAGAACTATAGATATATGATTCTTTAATAAGAGTAAACTATAAGTTTAATTATTATTTTAATAAAGAAAAATATTTAAATTTGAATTTTGGCGCCTTTTAGAGCTGTTATTAGATGTGTTAATCACAATTGCCATTAACATCTCTGATGTTAATGACCAGGAGTGTGAATCAATCAATTTGTCATCGAGTTGATAACCATTGGCATTAACACTTTTAGTGGATATATCTTATAATTTATCTTTGAATATATCTCCATATTATTTATTAGATAAATCTGACCTTCACATATCTAGTGATTAATCACCTGTAGGTACCTGGATTTATCCACGATAATATCCATCCAAGTGCGACTGTAGTGTAGTGCCTTGGTAAACGTTCGATGTTAGAGTTGACGTCGACACAATACATGTATTGATATGATGCTATGGTACCAGCGGAAACATCCAGATGGTCCGTTCGGTTGTTACTGTTGTGGTCAACGTACTGCTAATTACAATAGTCTTTGTCTGTGTAATGAATGAATCTAGACATCGTTGAGACCCTGTACAGTGTCCACTGTTACTCTAGTCGATGTGGACGGAGTTGTGTTGATGAAGACTTGAGTGGTATCTTGGTGATCGAGGATATCAAAGTAACGTTCTTCTGCTCGTTTGGGATTGTTTGTGATTGATCGAGTTTGTTAGTTCGTGGTTAAACTGTTATCAGCATGTCAAGTCTTCATCAACATGTTGTTCGAGCCAATCAAACTATCAACAGAGCTACTTACCACCATTCATTGCACCCTTTTATGACTCGTATCATGTGTTAACAGAATATTATTCCAGGTAGTCTCTTAGAGCTTGGAGTTGTCGTGCTTGTTGTGGTAGCCACCTCTGGTCGTGGTCGCCGACCACTGTCGGTGATATCACAGATATCATTCAGCCGTTGGAATTTTGTCGACAATGTTGTTGATCTTTCTTCCTCCTTCACTGTTATCTGTTGCTGTTGTTTGTTGTTTGTTGTTTGTTGTTTGTTGTTGTTGTTGTTGTACTGTGCGTGTATTGTACATCACTGCATTTATATGTAACAGAGATATATCGGTGTATTGGTCATTGTTGTTGGAGAAACAGGATCAACTGCTCTGTATTCGGTGTATGCACGTCCGACATGTGGTACGCTACGATGTCCAACATCATTGAAATGTCTTTGAGTCAATGATTGGGACGGAGTGAGTGAATGATTGATTGAGTCCAAGGCATATATGCTATTGAATGAATACATATGTGAGATTGAAAGAGATAGTATTTGTTGATTGTACGAGAACTTGTGACAAATGTTTATTTTAGTTTGGTTGTTGGGAATAAAAGGCAGGTGGTGGCATCAATGTTAACATCAAGGAGCTTGACACTTTTGATTGCTCCAAACGTGATGATTTGGTACTCTTTCAAGCTCTTGTACGTATGAGTCTCTCCAGTAGCTCGATCATAGTATAGTACCAATATGATGGCTGTACCATCCAACTTGTTCTTGTGGATACCCATTATCTTTGCCACCCATGTGACCTCAGCACCCTTGGCGTTTAAGCCCAGGACATGAACGTAGCTGTTCAACTATAAGAGAGAGAATGATGTTTTGGTTAATGAGATTGTGCTGCTGCTGCTGATGCAATAAGAAATACAACTACAATACCTTGAATATCTCGCCATCGTCCTTGATGTAAGTGTGCGACTTGCTCCAATCTTTGACCACAAGCTCTTTGTTATCGATAAAGTGTTTCTTGATAAAGTTGACGCCATCATCTCCCAAGGCTTGTTTGGACATAGGACCAAATGAGAACAATGAGGCATGGTTGGCTGTCTTTGGCTTCTTCAGTGACCTGGGATGGCAAACAGGTTCCAAATTCATTTCCATTGTGGTAACTGTGAACTCAATCTTGCCAATACGATCCAGGTTATGGTTGTTTGTTTGGAATAGCTTGATGTTGCGTACTCCTTTGTTCTTTGACTCTATAGACAGGTGGTGGGAAAGATCATTAGTAGGTGCGTGGAGGACCGAGACAACTAAGTGTTCAAAGCATGCCAGTCAATGATCTATAGTGACTTACCAAATAGTTGAGAACAAAAGCACAAGGGACAGCCGTTGTGGATAATATAACTTCGCCAATGAAATCCAAGGTGGAAGTTGATCATCCTCTTGAAGCCTTTGCCTTTGCCTTTGTGAGACGCAGAACCCTCTGGTCCATAGATCTTGACAAACAAACTGTGGTGATTGGCCATATGACGTTCCATTGTGCTGAGGTCCACCAAAGTAATCACAGGTTGGCAAAGTATAAAATAATAGCTACAGTGTGTATGTGTTTGTGGTTAGTATGATTGATCGAATGAATGAATGGTTGATTGATTGGACTACTCACTTGACATGGGCACGTAGACAATCATGAGCTTCCTTAGAGATGATTTTGTCAAATATGACAAGGGCATGCTTGGCCAATGAACGGACTTCTCTTCCACTGTACATCTTGATGTCTACATGATGTTTTTGAGTTAGTGGACTGTGGTCAACTCGTGTTATGTTTGTCCAAGTAAAGTACATACTCTTGAGTTTGAATGAGGCACCTTTGATTTGCGTTACCCGAGACTGAGCCTCCACGAGTTTGTCGTCATTGAGGTTGGCAACGATGAACTTGAAGTGGGTCTTCAACATACCGAGGTCCTCGTTGTGCAACAGGTCAATAGGTGAGTCCTCAAATATGTTGAATCCATTGAAAGATAATAGGAATGCTGAATACATGTATTGTAAAGAATTGTCAGTGTCCAGCGCTCATTAATGTTGCCCCTAGGGGCAACAGCTGTTGTGAGGTTTACATACATGGAATGTTCTTGAGGCCTGTATTCTCATCTATCTTGAGAGGTTCGTTTGTTGTCGCCCTTTGACTATATGCAGTCTTGTAGGCTGTCATGGCATCGAACAACGAACGTCCAGGAAAGTCACCTGATATAGTGTTGATCTCAGAGAGAGGAACCAGGCATCGGCGGCAAGGTAGTTTGGAGGTAAAGTGGCTGATACACATTACTTCATGGACTGCTGGTGTGTCTCCAATGAAGCGACCAACTCGGATCAGAAAGTTGGCATTGGCATTGATGTGCTTCCAATAGAGACTGATAGGTTTCGAGGACTGAGTGCATGTGTGATTGTGATGAATGTTCATGTATGTGTGAGTTAATAGCCTCTTGATTGGTTGCCAACGACTCTATGATGACATACATTGTTGATTATCCGAAGCTGCTCGAAGACTGTTGATAAAGCAATCTGAGCCGGTACCTCAGAAGGGCACAGGGAGATGAACATTGGAGAGCATCTGCCGGATTGTGTGTTGGCAATACTAATATATATCCCATTGCTAGATTGAGTATTGCCAGAGCGAAGTCCATCAAAGTAAAGATCGACAAATATATAATGGTTGGACGAGTCCACTGCACAAGCTTTCTTGAATCTGTCACCTGATATGAATGGGCCATATCCTTCTTGATTGTATGTTGAGTATGAAAGACTATGTATGTTTGATTGATTGATCGATTGTTTGATGAGTGATTGTTTGATTAATACATGTGCAAGCTTGCCAATTGCAGAAGTAACAGATACTCATATATAACATACTTTGGAACGAGATCCGATGATGCCAAGCTGTCCAGATATGCCTGGATGTAGGCCAAAGGGTCAACGGAGTGCCATTTGATTATCTTCTTCTCTGCTGGAGGGACTGCTGGAGGGACTGCTGGAGGGACTGCTGGAGGGACTGCTGGAGGGACTGCTGGAGTGACTGTTAGAGGGACTGCTGAAGGGACTGCTGGAGTGACTGCTGGAGTGACTGCTGAAGGGACTGCTGGAGTGACTGTTAGAGGGACTGCTGAAGTGACTGCTGAAGGGACTGCTGGAGGGACAGGTACTTGATATTCATGATTCCTGACAACCTAGGTATGTTATGTTAGAATTGGTTCCTAAATATCAATTGCCAAAGTATATATATAACATACCACTTCAGTTGGTTTGAGCACCTCTCTGTCCATTGATCTCAAATTAGGAAATTGGTCACGTATTGCAAATCCCATCTTATCGAGCTCCTTTAGTGTCCTGTCTATGCTTGCTATTGGAATTTCTTCCCTATAGCAATGAAGTATCAACCGTTTACCTGTTGAAAACAATTGACAACATGAATAAGTATTGTGTTAGTGATTGGCATGTCAACATTGATTGACCTGTCTCATACCATTTGCATTCTTTCTCACCTCTTCGTCATCAAGAGGATTGGTATCATCTACAGTATTCAATGAACGCAAGTATGGTGTGTTCAGAATACTGATGTCTGGAGCAGTAGACTTGACCGGTGTGATGGGGAGGTCGTTGTTGATGTAGTAGGTCTCATCATCAATCAAGCTGTTGGGTACTATTTGTCTGTGGTTGTCAAATGGCAAGGAGGTGAGTAAACATGAGCGGATAGAGGTGAAGGAATTAAGGGATGATTTATGTCCACATACCGTTTGTTTGGGTCTTTGTTATAAACAAGTTTGTCTCGCGCAGCCCTGTCAGTATTCGATAAACATTCAACAATGACCTTGGCCTCTGCCTCACTAAGGATACCACGTAGTAGACTGACCGTAATCGCCTCGTCTAAACAATTTTGAAAATTGTTAATATTTGTTAAGGATGAATGAATGAATGAATGAATGAATGAATGAATGAATGAATGAATGATTAACATACTCCAACCATTGCTGCACACTGGCCTGGCCCAATGGGTCTTTAAAGATCTGGCATTTCCCATCTTATGCCCACACCACAAACATTTCTTTTGGTGTTTGTCAAAATAATGTTCATGGAAAAGAAAGGGTGTGTTGAAAGTGAGTCTACACTCTAAACAAGTAAACATTTGTTATTGTTGTAAATCAAGTGAATGAATATAGATGTTAAACTTAGAGAGATATTAAAATGGTGAAGATGACTCTGAAAATGTCATTAGGTATTTATACAAATTAAATCTACGATGATTGTGTTAAAAATCGATCAATCGTTGGGGTTTCACAAATGAAACGACACCCCTTCCAATCCGTTAAAGGATGGTGTTGACAAGTTACCCCACTTTATTTCATTGTAACGGTAGGTAACTTTGTGACCTTTGGGTGGGGGTTAATAAGATTGGGTATCAATGTACTTTAAAACATGATTTAATGTTCGCCCTGTTTACTTTAAATGTTCATTTTTTGAACATCAATTGTATCCATTAATTGGTTACCAATTGACTTTATATATTGAATACGCAAAAAAATAAATGGAAATTCCTAATCAATGTGGTTCGTTCGAGTTCGCGAACGACACGGGCATTACTGTTGGATTAGGTCGTCCACGTATTGGTTCATTCAGATCGCTTGTCCAACTACATATTAAAACACATGGCTGCACATTGCTACGCTCTTGTCACTAATTGTACTCATTGTTCACATATTTATTTATGTTCATTCAATCTCCACTGCTTCCTCAATCAATCAATCAATCAATCAATCATACAATCAAAGTGGAAACGATTGGTGAATTGATTACAACAACTACGTTACCCATCACATTTATTGGATTACAAATATGTTTGACTTGTCATTGCACCAATGCCACCAATACGTATCCTCTTTACCGTTTCTGTACGATGGTGTCTTGTACTTGACGACTTGAGCTTCCAACTCATTGAGGGAAGTGTTATACTTGGCCTTGTCTTCGCTGGAGATCGTGATGCCAGAACGTCCCAGACCATATATCCTCTCTTGGATGTTGATGTACTCATTGTGCAATCTCTCAAGTACTCCATCTCTGCCGATGGGTGGCATTTCAAGTTGAAAGGTCTTCTTGCGTCGATGAGTCTTGAGCTCGACAACCTTTCCTCTGTAGAATCGCCCAGACTTTCCATTGTCATTGATGAAGACAAGTACATCGACGTCATTGATCGTACTTTCATTCTGTTGAGTGAAGGCATTGGCACTGCACACGTTCTCTTGTGTAGTTAACTGATATTCCTTTCCTTGTTCAAATTGCACATTATACGTCATTGTCTCGTTGTCCTGATCGTATGTGGAGGACTTGACTGTGGCAGGCCACCATGTTCCAGCGTCCACCTCAACTGACATCGCATAGACTTTCTCGCCATCTTTGTAATATTGAGTATTCATCAGTGTGTCTTCCTGCACCGGTGCCACGTTCTCCATCGGTGATACATCTTCCATCGTAACAACATGCGATTCATTGGTACCAGTATGTGTTTGCTCGCCGTCACTATTGTTCATACCACCACCGGAATCGATGTTGCACTCGTCCTGCACATTTGATTGATCATCATCCATCTCCACGTTGTCCTCATTTACCTCGTGTCCATCCTCGTCATCACTCGGTCCCTCTTGTGCAACTTGTCCATATGCATACGTGTCATCGTCCTCGTCCTCGCCCACCTCCTCCTCGTTGCCAATGTCGCATGTGTGAGCATGGTGGGAATTGACGGTGTTTGCGGTCATGCCATGTGTTGTTCTGTACTTGTCAAATACATTTGGATGTCTGACGTTCATAGTCTCTTTGTATGTGACGTTGCGAGTGTTTGTGCCATTAAGGAGATCCTTGTATTGGTTGGACTGATAGGACACATGTGTGATGATGTTGCCACGTTTGAGTTGTACTCGACACAACTCAGCCACGCCATAGATGGTGCCGTTTGTATTGCGATCCAAGACCAACTTATTGGCGTAGTGTCGTCCCTCTGGTGCCATGTTGATAAGGCGGTCAAGCGATCCAAACAGATAAATSGCCTCAGGTACATGATGGCATAGACAATGGACGTAGGATGTGATGATGCTTGGTCCATAGATCCCAATGGACAGCTTGGCGAATATGTATGCTTGGGAATACCATAGCTCCCTTTCAAAAAGGGGTAGTGATTGAGTRGCAACAGCAGGAGTGGCGGCGGGAGTAGCATCAGCAGGAGTAGCAGCAACARGAGTAGCAGTAACAGGAGTGGCGGCGACAGCGGGAGTAGCAGCAACAGGAGTGGCGGCAGCAGGAGTAGCGGCAACAGGAGTGGCAGCATGGGTGGTGGCGGCGGGAGTAGCAGCAGCGGCAACCTGAGTAGTAGCAGCAGCAGGAGTGGCATCAGCATGAGTGGCGGCGGCGGGAGTAGTGGCCGCGTTACGTATTGCTGGTGCTGTTCCAGGTTCAATCATTGTTGAGAAGAAATGGTGTAGCATGCGCCAAGTGTCAAGGGCACGCTCTTTGTACTCATCGTACTTGTTCTTCAGCTCCTCATTCTCTCCAGCCAACAGATCTTCAAGATTGAACATATCATTGCGACGAAGGGTGATATCAATGGCCACCTGGAACTTGACTCTTGTTGCTTCCCAACGGGCAACGAGCGATGAAGGTTTCGATGCACTGTGCTTGGTACTGATTACAGGTATCTTTGGACCAAGCCGAGCCATGACTCCCAACAGCCTCTCCTTCACTCGCTTACCAACTCTGTTTCCATCTACCTCAATCTTCAGCCATGTCTCAAGCCATTTGAAATGATTTTTGACATAGGTTCTGATGACAGCGACCAATACATGGAGAAGATCTGGTACCATATGACTTGTTGGGATACATGTGATCAATGGAGCATTGTTGTATCCACCGTTAGTCCTCGCTGGTCCCGTCGGCTTCTCAAGAGGGATTACTCTTGGCAGTACGCCGTCGGGTTGGATCGCAGGTACCAGGATTCGAGCCATGTCCACCTTCTTGATCATGCACCACACGCATCTAAAGTTGCTAACTGTCTTGTATACAGCGTAAAGACCAAGAAGCAAGCAAAGGCAAACCATGTCAACTACTAATATAACTATAGGTTTGTAGACTTTGTCTTTGTACTCCTAAATAAATAATTATTTGTTTGTTAGTCACTTTGTTTGTTTGTCACACTTCGTTTGTTGTGAAACACAATTTTACACACTTTAACATCCAGCGACAACAACTTCAATCAATCATTCAATCATTCGATCATCGCACACATAACAGTTAATAACTAATGAGAATATATATATATATAGAGATATAATATATATACTTACATAGGTCTTCAGATTGTTCAGTTCAGATAAATGATCATGGAACTTGCTCTGGCTGAACCAATTTGACATGTTTGAGTATGTCTCTTCACCATTGGCTACAAGGAATTGATACACATTGTACGGAGACTTCAAGGTGGAGGTCTTCTTAGAGTCATACACCAACTGCATTGTTCCACTCTCTTGCTTCTTGCTGCGCTCGACTGTGTCCTCCTTGAACATAATGGCTCCATCAATATCAGCCTTGACAATCACTATTGAAACGTATGTTGATCGGTGGGGTCAGTCACTTGTACTATATCATGTCTAGTAATGTAATACTTACCATCTTCATCTATTGGCTCCTCTGCCTCAATAGCATCCTCAAATAGCTGATGGATATCGTAGTATGCATAATGAGTAGGGACAGCACCGGCAGCATTGATGGTGTCGGTCTGAAGCATTGTCGCGTCAATCTTTGACTCGAGCTGCTTAGATATCTGCTTCATCCGATCGAGAGAGAAGTCTCCAGGGTTCAAGTTCCCAGCAAATAGGACGTACCTCCATTTGTTGTCGGTGATACCAAGGACAAAGCGCATCATCGCCAGCGCAACGATATCGACCTGGTCTGCTCTGAACGTTCCAGCGTCTCTGTTGGCTTCTACTTCGAGTTTATGCTCCTTCTTCATTGCGAACTCACAGCCAGGACACGGGCTTGGCACTAGCACACGCTTGTGATGTATGGCTTTCCAAACATGACGACTGAAGTCCTTCTTATGTATCTGTACATTACAGCCAGTGTTTGAGACCGAGCTTATTATACTACTCGGTTCGAATAAACGAGATATCAATATCCTTCGGTTCGGATAATTCCTTACTCGGTCGTGTAGTTGCTCAAAGATTGTAACCGAGCTCGGTTACCCGAATATCTCCTTTAACCGATATTCGACCGGATAACCGATTAACCGGTACTACACTGCTCATGAAAGTGTACTCTTTGTAAGACAACAATGTTATTTATTGATCTGATTCATCGAAAAGGCTTTTGTATTCCTCGATATCTCGTCTCCAATCAGTCTTGAGCTTCATGTATCCTGCCACTGATTGTTTCATCATCCTGTTCCTCTTTTTAGTCCAAAAGTCCTGTACACCAGAGAACAACGATTCCACTCCAGCTTCAGCAGCTGGGATGATGAATATCCTTTTGACAAGCTTGAACAGAGTSGGATACTGATATTGGTTCGTCTTCCACCAAGAGATGATCTGTGCCCCATCATGTTGGTCTTCATTAGGTATTAAAGCTCCATTCTCTAAGTACCTGTCAAGCTCTGATGTTGGACTAGTCTTAGTTGGTTCAATATCATGTTTCCATCCAGTACTGTACTTCTTTGTAGTCTCTGTTGAAGTTGTAGATGTCACCTTGGTCGATGTGGWTGTTGCCTGAGTTGAAGTAGCGAGTGGTGCGGGAAGAGAGAGGACATCATCTGCAGGGAGGATTTGAACTTGGAATTCGACTAGTCGTCTTCCCATCTTCTTCAAAGAGATCTTGGATGCTGCTGATCTCTTTCCGTTGGCATTCAGTTGGGCATCTTGGACATCAGCACTCTCCGATTGTACTTCAAAGATAATATCTGGATTGTTAATGTAACAATCGTCCATGGCTTGAAGGTATTCCAGATTGTGGAATGGGGACAACACCGTAGCTACAATATAGTAGGGATTGTCAAAAGTGAGTCTATAGTAATCTACGAGTGATTTCAATGAATCTTTCACTGCATCACTTAGTATATCGATAGCAGAACTAGATACACCTTCACTATTGTAAATGGAGTTAATCAATATGCTCTTGATGTAAATGTTGAATAGTTTTACATACAATGAGTAGTTCGAGAGCTTTGAGATGATGTCAATATAGACTGGAAGGACACATGGGAGTGTGACGTTCTTGGATGACTGAAGTAGTTGAGTTGGTCCTACAAAAATCCCCAAGAACTTTGTCAAAGCTTCAATGATATGCCATTGTGCTGGTTTGAGCTTCATTTGGGCGATTCCCTTGTCATTGGTGAACTTGCATGGTTCAAAGATTGTCCTGAACTCCAAGAACCTCTTCAACATGTTGTGAGTTGAGTTCCACCTAACCTCCATGTCTGAGAATAAAACATGATGTTTTAAATTCAAACGCTTGCATTCTCTGTAGAATAGGAGTATATTTAGTTTGATTGTCCATTTGCCACTGTCTATAAACTCTACTTACGCAATGAACTCCCTATGAATAGTTGTTGACTTCTTGGTCCTCTTGATTATCTTCCTCACTGCTTGGAGTAGACCGATCTTCTGGGTGTTGATCTCTATCAACTCAATAGTCTTGATTGCCTTCTGCGCACAGGTGTTGATCACGTGACAAGCACATCTGAAGAAAGTGTTTGAATCAAACAGATCACTTTTGGTGAAGCATTTGACATTGTCCGATGCGCTGTCTGATGTGATCCCAATAACACTATTGATGTCAACTTC